ATCCAAATTTAGTGTGGTTAAACTTTTATGCAGCATTGTTTATAAATGTCACTCTGTGAATCAGAAATGCCATTTGGCATTGCAAAGAAGATCCACAAATAAACATATTTAATTAAAACAGCAGTGATAGATAGGCAACATTAAAATACTAATTTACTGGAAATCAGTGGTGTAGTCTACATTTTTGTACTGGGTATACTGTGCTTAGAAACCGAAGTACACCAGTTAGTACAATGTATTTGTTAATTTATTTTGATTTTTAAGCATATTGAACATTTCAAAAGTTCTGTGATGCTTATATTTGAATAAATGTTCAACAAATTTTGTACAACATTTGGCCTTGTATTAAAAACATGCTATAGAATTTATAAAACAGTATCAAAGCCAAACGTGTTCAAGTATTAAGTAGTAAGTACTGAAGTATTAATTATACAAAAACAGGTTGAACCAACTTAGTGTGTCTATAAAATGTTCCAAATGTGTTGACAAATTCAATTTGATTCAAAAATACTTTATTAATCCCAAAGGGAAATTAAATGTTATTTTAACTCGTTATCCTTGTTTAGTTAAGAGATGTTATAGATGTTGATGGCTGTAGGCAGGAAGGATTTCTTCTAAAGGTCCATCCCACAGTGGATCTGAAGAAATTAACCACAGGTGCCATCTGATCTGTCCACCCAGACTCGGCTGACCTTGGTTCCCCGAGGCTGCAGGACTGCCCAAATGCCAGGCAGAATTCCTCCCAGAGTGATGGACACTCCTCCCATAAGACTGCCGAGCTCCTCGTCGCTGAGGACAGCTGGCTGCAGGCGTCAGTGGACGATCCCGTCCTTCTGCTGTCACAAGCTGTGTTTCCTGCTAGTTCCAGGATCTCCTTAGGAGATCTTATGATCTCAGTGGTCAGGCACTCGAGCACAACCGGCAGGTAGATGGGAATGCATACACAGAGCCTCTTTTTCAACTCATATGAGATTTGGGGCTGTAGTTGAGGTAGACATTTTTGAGCTTTAAAATGTTAATCAGCAGCTCCCAGGTGTAACCCCCCCCCCCCCCCCCCAAAAAAAAAACCTTGTTGTTATGGTTACGCATCAAAACAAATTTCCAAAAGTAAAAAAAAAAAAAAAATCAGTAAAAATCCTTCCAGCTCTACAGCATCCAATATTAGAGGAAACAATCATCCAAAAAAAAAAAAAAATTTGATTCAAATTTTTTTCCAAAAGCAATAAAAAAACAACAAAAAAAAACAACATTTAGCAGGTAACATTATATTACCTTACCTGGACAATGATGCAGCCCAACAATATGTCACATATCATTGGGCACTTTTAAGTGGGTATACTGAAATGCCCAAGCTTTTCTAGTGGGTATACTCCGTATGCCTTCATATCACATAAACTACACCACTGCTGCAAGTAAAACTCAAGTAAAAGCTGAGATCTGTCTAAATAAAGTGTCTTTTTGAACAACAGTTCTTTACAGAAACTCAAAATTCCCTTGAGGGATGTTCCCACGTGTTTAAAGAGACGGCTTGCTCTGGCTGTCACAAAACAAACCAGTTCTTTTATGTTTTTAAATAGAGTCAACTTAGAATTCACTCACTTTGATTCATCTGCTTTAATAAACTACATTTGCTCAGTTAAGTTCAATAAAAGACTCCTCTAATGTTTCAAAGATATTGTGCAAAGAGACAGGACCCAATAAAAGTATATCTTCTCTCCTGGTAGGATAATCAAGTTATGACTTTCTGAAGCAGTTTGAACAAGCTTCCCCACACAACCAAGACTAAATGCAAACTTTGCGAGAGCTGCATGTCTATAAGACATTTCTTTTGCAGCTTTCATCCCAGACACAACAGCTGTCTCAAAGTAATGGAAAACAGCCTTGAGAACAGCAGAAGAGAAGCATACTGAGAACAAGTCGTTAACAGTTTTTATTTCTTTGATTCTCCCACATTTTTGGAATAGTTAAGGCTACAAAAGTCTAATAAAATGCTTCCATCCCAGATGCATCCTGTTACATCTTTCTGTGCGTTATGGTTAGGAGGATACATCCTGCCACAGTCCAGGTCCCAGCAGAGCGTTTTATTTTATGAGATACTTTTCTTTCAGTCGCTCTCCTCCCTGCGCCTGTCCCAGTGGAAACAGATATGAATGGCGACAAGAAGCCAGATGGGAGGAAAGCTATGAATCCACAGCAGAGTCGGTATAAATGAGGAACTCGAGTAGTAACTCTTAGGGGAGATAACGCTTGGTGCTGTGAGTTAAGTGAAGCATCGGCACTGTTGCACTAATTGCAGCAAAAGGAGCTTCATAAATATTTTACATTCAATCGGACCTGACACAAATGAGGAGATAAATTAATGAGGGTCCTAGATACCTAAATGCTTGTCTTTTTTTTTTGCACACATAACCAAACAATGAGCTTTTTGTCCTCGCTGGAATTATAAACAAAACTTTGCTACATTTGACATCACCAGATGGATTTCCAACAAAAGCAATTTTAGTAGAAAACAGCATTGTTCACTTTGGTGTATAAACAAAAGGGAATCCTTTATTTCCTCCATGGACTGATGCAACATGAAGAGCCAAAGGTAGTAAAAAAAAAAGGGATGGTTTTCTTTGTGATTTTAATGGATTCATTTGAAGTTAAAATGGCAACAACAACTGTATTTCAGGAAGTTGCATCACTTGTAGATTGCATTCAGGGTTCAAAGTCTCATCTTAAAGCTGAAAACATTGGTCTAAAATGTCAGCGACATGCCGTGTGCAAGAAAAAAGGGAGACAAATGTGTTCAGAGTTGAACGTCTGCTCTGTCGTAATTCACTACTTGAAGAATTAATTCACGAGTTACAAAAATAAATTGTTTCTTTGTCTTAAACCAACAAATTAAATGTGTTTGTTTATCTTCACATCTACTGCAAAAACTGAACATAACTTTTTAGCAAAAGTCCATTTTAGAAATTGTTTTAAAATACAATGATAAAACCAACAAAAAGCCTAATTTGAATGGAGTTCCTCACAGCTCAGCCTTTAGCTGAGACCCAGTCACAGGGCGAGAACTTGTTCAAGTTTGACTTAAGTTTTTTTGTTTTTGTTTATTAATTTTTTGTTTGTTTTGTTTTCTGTAATGTCACTTCACAATATATTCTTCAGATCAGGGGTGCTCAAACTTTTTGGGTTCAGGGACCCCTCATCACCCTCATGTTTAGTAAATAATTTTCTTAAATTTGTCTCTTTAATGCAATGGAAATATTTGTGTAACAAATACTTAAGACCTGTTCTTTAATAGTGTTAATACAATTTTTATACTTTTAAGCATGATGTATTTTTCATTCAGTACACACTAAATTAACAAAAAATTAAATTTCAACTTCCAAAAATTACAGTTTTGAGAAAATGAACAGTATCAAAAACCACTTTAAAACTTTACCTATTCACATAAATTATTGTTTATTTAATTTACCTTTTATTTATACAGGTAGTGTCATTGAGTCACGAGAACTCATTTTCAAGAGAGATCTGTTTTTGGGAGCAGATGGTGGAGGTTGTGGGCCTTGCTCAAGGGCCCAGAGTGGGGCAAATGAGGATCGAGGCAGGTGTGAGTGTTTCACCTTTTCCACCCACATTTTGATGTTGACGGTACCAGGAGTTGAACCTGCGACTGTCTGATCACAGGTCCATCTTCTCTAGCCTCTGTGCCACCACTCCCCCAAATGTATCACCACAGAAAACTCTTTACATAAAACTGAACAGAATCAGAACAGGTTGTCAACAGGGCTTCATTTATGAACTGACTGATGCTGGAATGTGCGGGCGGGGGGGGGGGGAGGGGGGGTTCCTCCCTCAGAAATTGTTTAATAAAGTACTGTAGATGTGTCTTCCTGCATTTTTGTGTATTTTAACAGGTTGTTGAACATCTACGTGCTTGTAAACAAAAAACAATTACAATTTTTTTTTGTGAACCCCAGTTTAAGAACCACTGCATAGATGAAGAAGCCATTCTATAACTGACACGGCATCCCATAAATTTCCTCAACAACTGGTTTTCTTTATAAATTAAGATTTTTTTTCTACTTTGTCAGATACAAGGCATTTATTTAATTCATATGTTTGTGCTACAGAAACTTTCAATGACCCAGAAATATTTCCAATCTACTGGAGATCATGCTGTGTGTTAGAATATCAGATGAATGTTGTGATGATATTTTCTACATATTGCAAACACAATGTAAAAATGCAAGACACAAAAGGCATAACAATGAGATGTGGGTGTCAAGCTGAAACAGTTGCAGAGTGTACCTTTAATTGTACTTTACTTTTTTATTCTAATTCTTTCTTTGAATGATCTGAAAGTGTTGTGGTGAAGTTAACTCCAGATAATGCTCTGGTGTTGGTGGTGGGGACCCCTGGTGCTTCATACTTTAATCATGGATCACACTACAGAAAGTGAACAAAAAAAATATATGTATACAAACAAAACAATCTTGGGGGGAAAAAAAGCACAAATTCTAATTGATGTAAATAAAGTTGTTGCAGTATTAGTGTTTTGGATTGAACCCCCTTGGAGTTTCTCCATCTTGGCAGCCTTACAACCCTGAAACTGACATTAGCATTATTATTTTTTTTAATATTCAGCTCCAGTTTTTATTCAAAACAATTTGCAGGTGTGGAAACACCTTCAAGCTTCAGTCCAGACAGTGATCCTGGCATGAATGTTCGATGTCATTTAAAAGACAGCCGTGGTGAAACAGGTACAGAAGTGAAATATTGAGGAAAGTTCAACATACTTGAGCACAAAGTGACAGAAGATATGTCTTTTCAAAACAAAGTCCTAAAAAAACCTTTGAATAAGAAAAGGACACCTCTTCTATGATAAATTAATGTGTTGTAATTAGTTTAGCACTGCTTCAAAATCATGGATTTATACATACATCTTTACAAAGATCACCCAAGTGAAGGGGTCAGCAGAGAGAAAGAGCTTTTCCGTTATTTGACCTTACCTGTCACAACATCAGTGATCTCCTGAGACATGTGTTGGCTCTGGTGGACCCACTCTCCATTGCACTTGAAGAAGATCTGGAGCGCAGGCCGGGCTTGACACCGCAGCATGATGGGGTTGCTTTTAATAATGTAGGCATCAACGGGCTCCTCCAGGAAGCGGGGCAGGGTCCCAGACTGGCCATGATGCAGAGCTTCACCTCTGGGACCTAATGAAAAAACATGGAAACCAAATACGATTCAAACATGACATCCATATGACAACCATCCATTATCTTTACCCGCTTCTCCCTTTGTGGGTCACAGGGGGGTCACTGGTGCCTATATCCAACAGTCAATGTGTTAGAAGCTGGGGACACCCTGGACAGGTCTCCAGTCGATCACAGGGACACATAGAGACAAACAACCATTCACTCTCTCACTCACACCTAGGGACAGTTTAGAGTTACCAATCAGCCTAACATGCATGTTTTTGGTCTGTGGGAGGAAACCCAGAAAGGTCCCAGGCCAGGATTGGAAGTGGCAACCTTCTCACTAAGAGGCAACAGTTCTACCAACTGAGCCAATGTGCTGCCCTCAAACATAACAAAATTTAGGAAATTTGTGTTAATTATTTAGTGACATCAACAGAATTCATCACAAACTTGTTCCTGAGACAAGACAATCTGCCTCTCTGTCCAGCCCTGGCTCGTGTCCTCTTTTACTCATCCAAACCATAAAATGAACATAATAACAACAATTCCCCATTATTACCATCTTGTGATACAGTTGTTCACACAACGTTAAACTAATAAATCCTCCAGAGCATTGCCATACTTAATACATTATCACAGAATGCATAGAAACAGCCAACACATAGATAGTGAAATATACATGAGTTATATTTTAATAATTTACAGTTTTCTGGTTTTCCACATTTTTATCGTTTATTATTTTGAGGTGATTAATTGGCAAGCTTCGGGAGAGTTACCTCTGGTTCGCCAATGCATCGGTGTGTTATGTAGAAATTAATCTTAGAAAGCACAAAACCACAACTTTAATGATGTTTTTGCAGCTTCTTTTATTGGAATTCACTTTTTTAACAGTATATAATCACCGTAAATTCATAAAAACATGACACATCTAAATTATGCAAGCTATGTCAAATTCACAAGTTTTTAAACAGTGTAAGTAAAATTTAGAAGTGCTTTTCCCTCAACTGAACTTCCTTTAAGAATAAAGCCATCAAAGTCTAAAAGACTCATATGGCCTGATGAATGAAATTATGAAATTTTTACTCACAAATTTAAAAAAGAACAAGATTACCCAGATTTTAGCAACAATCAGTTCCAGAACATCACTGCATCAATGGTATGAACATTAACCAAGCAGAATATGTTTCTGTCCATGTGTCATCATTTTCAAACAATGCATGACTTTGTAAAAATCTACAATATGCAAATAATACAACAACAAACACTTATTATTAAAAAAAAAAAGTCCATGCTCAATAATCCAGGTATTCAATCCAACAATTTTCAGTCAGGTCATCTGGACAGTTTCTTTTTTTTTTTTTGTGCTGAAACATTTCACCTATAAACATAACTGGTTTGTTCCACTTTGGAGTAAGCTGTTTCGGGGAATAATCAGGTTTGTGTTGTGTGTTTCCTTGACTGATGAAGCCGTCTGGATGGAAGGTGAAATGTTTCAGCACAAAAAAAATAAATAAATAAATAAACTGTCCAGATGACCTGACTGAAAATTGTTGGATGGTCCAAAACCTTATTGCCCATTTGCCTGTGGTGGCGGGCAGTAATGACAAACGGAAACATCTGCATCAGCCCTTGAGCTGTTACATATTTTAGAAAAATGAAAAAACATTTTGCTTTCAAAATGCCAGCGGTTTTTCTAATCAGTTTCTAAACAATAAAACAAAATGTTAAAATATGAATCAACAGATGTTTCAACACATTCGTGAGTCGGTTCACTAAGACTGAACAGAACACCTTTTCAGCTACTTTTATTTCACCCAACTATCTTTCATATTTATACATTTCATATTTATAAATTTCATATTTATAAAGCAAGTCACATTAAATATAATCTGGCACAAACTTGCTAGCCACCTCAGCAGGTACGAGTAGTTTACCCTTTGTATGCATCAGAACACAAACGTTCTTGCTGCAGTTTAACTATGACCATTGAAGACATCAGACACAAAAGTGGCAGAAAGAAACAGAAAAATGTTCCGTCACAGATTCTTAAAGATGAAGGACAGAGACACTCCTTACAACTGTGATAATAACTCCTTTATGTGTTGTTAATGCTGTAATTAAATGAGTAATTAAATGTTTATTTTGAAAGTAAAACAGTTACAACTGGATTTATTTACTGTTTAACTCATTACTGGAGGAGAAGATGAATTATAATTTTGCTGTCAAGTCTTCTTGCTTAAAATAAATGTGAGATTTCTTCTCTTCTTTAGTTTTTCTCATGAGACATAATTACTACCAGCTCTCAGGCGACATCACTTGTTTGATGCTAAATGTATAGCCTAAGCGCCTTTGGCCTTTCACAGTCAAAAGCTTTATTGCCTTAAGAGCTATTTACCTAAATTTGGGCAGGTTTTCCTTTAATTACTATATAACTTATCATTTAAATGCTGTTAAACTGTGCCAGCACAAAAAAAGACGTTTGGTTGACAACCAAGCTCGAGGTGCAAATCTCCCTTTGAATTCATTTAGTAAATTAGACAGATGTGTAACATTAAAAGATTGCTATTGCAAGAGATGTGTAAACCATAGATGCATTTGATTTTACTTTAAATGTGATTATCACTCGATGTCAAAAGGTGAATGTTGATGTTGGTGTTCTTGCCTCTCTGCCTTTGTTTCTCTCAAATATCTCCTGAATCACTTAACAAATTTTAGTGAAACTCTCAGAAGTAATCACTAAATATACTAAACCTTCACTACTATACTACTACTGATATATCTTTGGAGTGAATCCCATTAAACTGGGCTTAAAAAATGGCTGTAAATCAGTCAAGTTTAAATATCATGTGGTAGTGGTTGAGGTTAATTCACAACACAGTTTGTAACATCTTGAGATATTACTTGAAACTCTCGGATCATATGTTGGCATTGCATCTGCAATTGATTAGCTTTTGCAGTCAAGCCACATTGATGGGTAAGTAATCTTAGCAGACAAATCTGGCTACAGTATACCTCAGTGCATTTGACAACTATTGTACTAAAAGGGGTTGAGATAGGGGAGAGGTAGGGCAGCCGACTTGGGACCAGGAAGTTGCAGTTCAATTCCGAGCCATTCCCACAAGTCGTGGTGTTTGAGCAAGACACCTAATCCCTAATTGCTCGCCGGGCACTTGCATAGCTGCCCACTGCTCCACCTGGGTGTATCTCTGGTGTGATGGGTTAAATGCAGAGAAATAATTTTGCCATTGTATGGGAACATACATTGATGACAATCTCAGACTTCCCTTCTATAAAAGTATGTGCAATAGTAGCAGACAATCATTCACAACACACACTCCAAGCTCTAAATGATTGATTTTATGAGGTCATACAACGTATTGCATGAGATTGTGCATAACTGTATTTCCAGGATTTGACCAAAATGTCTATTTCTCCACATGAGGCAATCTAAGATTTAATCTCTAGCATAAAATTATCATCCAGCATCAACTGAACATGTATTATTTTAATTAAAGCAAGGTTTTTCCATTTAGTTAAGATGCCAAATATGGGAGGGAGTGGGTTTGGAATGAATGCAGATAAATTAAAACAAGCAGCTCATTAAAACCTTAACAGATCCACATTAGTGCCATAAACTTTTCTTTGATCTTCACTAAAAACAGTTAGCTGTGCTAAAAGACAGAGGCAATGCGCTCTAACCCTTTCAGCACACGTTTGGATACATCTGAGGCCCACAACTGTAATTATACTCTGACTAATCCGTTTGCTGGAACCACTTTCATGCAAGTGTGAAGAGTTTACTGAGGCAAACCATTAAGCTCCCTCCCCTCCTGATCCCAGCTCCCCGCTGCATTCTCCATGTTTTGGGTGCACCTCTGAAAAGCCTGTCAGGATTAGAAAAGTCACTCTCTCCTTTTCTCCAGCTAATCTAATCCTCCTACCTTTCCTGCTGGATGTCTCCTGATGGAGGGAAACAGATAAAAGGGTCTCTGTGATTCCCTGGCCAGGAAAATCACAGCACTTGTTCGGCGCTCCTCTTCCCTGTGCGCAACACTCACATTCTCTCCCTCATTCCTGGATGTGGAGCTGAACAAAGAGACATGCTTTTAATTTCAAAAAGACTAGCCCTAGGCGAGCTTCTCTTGTACGGAGCGTTCTACTTTGTTTCGTGCACGCAGAATTGACACCGTGTATTTGTGTTTTGATCATAAAAAACATAGCAGGGTTTGCAGAAGCCAGGCAGTGATAGATGGGAACAACAAAACACAAACACTTAGCTGTCAGATGCTCTCAAAGCCCTTTAAGTACCAACACGTTTGAAAATAGAGCATCGTAAATAATGCTTAACGGGGCAGCTTAATGCCACTCTGAAAGCTACAGTATTACTGACAATTATTTCATGTGCACTACCGGTTTTACTCAAGTTAGGATGCTTTTTGTTAACTAGAAATGTTAATAAGCACTGCAAAAAAGGTGGGCGATTATGTTTTTGCCCATGTCTGTGCACTGTCAGTAAGGATTATAATGAAACTCATAGACTATACATATTGAATGTACAACTGCTTACTATTGGTATTTGAACTGTTACAAGTCACAAAAATAGCTAAAACTTGGTCAGTTTTATAAACAATAACATAAGATTAGGTATGATAAAAGCTGAGACGGAGCCTCAACCCATTATCTAAATGTTAACAGATTGCAAAATAATTTTAGTCAAAATTTTGCCATTGGTCATTTCAAGGTTCTTTATTGTCATTCACAGCACAAAGTGGAACGGCATTGTGTACGCAGGGTCCCAGTTACATCCAACAATAGCAAAAATATCAATTGTAAAAAGAAACAGTAAATAAGGATCTAAGATATCCTCTAGTAACTAACAATATGCCGAACAACAGCAGCACGAACATGAGTCTTTGTGGGTAGATGAGTACGAATGAATGAATACAGCAGCATGAAATAATTAGCAGCATGAGATCAGCAGCATGGATAATCAGCAGCACATATCACCAATCAAA